GTGCATTTTCCCAGTTTCTCCATTTTTTTCTGCGCTGAATTCACTGCAAACTGCACCAAAATCAACATAAACTTTGTGTTGGTTTGTGTTTCACTCCATACATTAACCAAAAGTAACACAAGAACGCAAATGAGGGGCTTGGAGGACAAGGCGCATGAGTGTGGTTTTTGGAAATATTAAAATACTAATAATTTTAAGTGAAGCTAGTTTTGATGCATACTCTGTGAAAAATTCGCTCCCAAATTCTAATTTTTAATTATCAAAAAGTCAGTTTGAAATTTCTTCGCCATACGAATCCATTAAATTTCGAAACTCCAAACATAATTCTCAAAATAGCAAAAACTGCACTTATGCGCCTTGTCCTCCAAGCCCCTCAAATATTTTTATCAGTAGGTATATTAGTAAAGCAGTTGCAAAATAGTAACTATTCATAAACAAAATATTACAAAATAGTAACAAATTAGTACTAATAGTAACTATAGTACGTATATTTAGCACTACGTGTTATCAGGACGAGGAATTCCGTATTTGTACCAATATTTATTCGAGTATTTTCTTTTAAAATATCTGGCATGAAGCTCATTTTTGTGACAGATGCGACCGGCTCGGTTATCAGGTCGTCGTATCCCGGCTCCGACGGATCCCCGTTGATCAAGTCGAGCGGGCGTCAGAAGTTCATGTTACGCCGTGGCGTGGTGTATCATGGAGCGCCTTTGAAGAGCGCGCCGGTTCGAGATGTAATCTATAAAATGTTAAAATGGAGCCCGGGGATGCCCAGGGGGGTGTCTTTGAGAGGGGCGGCGCGCCACCGCCCACTTCGCTCGTTAGCTGGGGCTCCCGAATGCGCATGATTCAAGCCGCCCTTCGCTCGCTTCACGACTGGAGTGCCCTTCGAACGCGACATGCGCCCGAGTCCAGGTTCAGATCGGAGGCGGATTCCGATGGAGTTGAGCTCGTTCGAGTCGACTTGAGATGTGATGATCTTCATTTTTCGCTGAAAAATATGCAGTTTCTTACTATACTTCAAAAAATTGAGCCTTTTTTGTGTGTACGTCTGTGTCGATTTGCTCTCTCATTGGTCGTTTGATCAACCGATCAGAAAACGTCATTAAAAAACTCCAGAAAATTTAAATTCGAAAAAATCGGGATAAAACGACATGAATCAGAATAACTCTTGATAAGATGGGATAAATTGGATTCCAATGAAGTTGATCTCGATTGAGTCGACTTGGGATGTGATAATCTTTGTTTTTCATCGAAATAAATTCAATTTTCTCTTAAAAAAAAAAAAAAAAAAAAAAAAAAAAAAAAAAAAAAAAAAANCAATTATGTCGCCACGTCTTGTGATTTAAACCTAGTGCAATTTTGAAAAAAAAAAAAAAAAAAAAATTAGAATAAAACGGAGACCCTAAATGCTCGACTATATACTCCAGAATTAGTGCCTAGAGGTTTGATTTGTTTCATCACTGAATAAAAATAAAATAAATAAATGCTTTGATCTAGGGTCCAGACTCCTTAGAATTTGACGAGGAAAATAAACTCTGGATTCAGTCGGATGTTCGCTTGAATCAAGAGCCACTAGCCTCTTAATCTATGCGGATTCCTTTCGATTTCAACAAGAATGAATCAAGAGTATTTTTCTTGTCAGGTTTTTTAAGACTCTGGACTCTCGCTGAAAAAAATAGTATGCTGTTTTAGCACCTAAGATGTCAAAAATGTGTCTGGTGATTCCAAGATACTGCCTTTACTGCCCTTGCAGTCAACTTTACACAAGTTCAACTGCGTGGGCAGTCAAGGCTGCATCTTGGATCACCAGACACACTTTTGATATCGTAGGTGGTAAAACAGCATACCATTTTTCAGTGTAGATCCAAGCGACTTCTTTTCCGGTGATGACTACAATTTTTAAAATGAAAGAACGTATATGCCATTCAAAACCTCTATACATTATCAGAATAAAAAAACGCTAAAAAATGTGGCCCGAACGGTATGCAATACGGTGGTAAAATAGTGCTGATTCACACTATCATTCAAGTAAATTAAAATGCGCAAAATAGTGTAGAGCCAGCACTATTTTACCACCTTGTTGCATTTTCAAGACTCGGGGACCATTTGCTCATTCAATTTCAACCCTTCCTTTTAACCGGCGTTCCAAACAATATCACAGCTCCTACCTCTAGATTAATCGTGCGCTACTCCGAAATTACCTCACGATTTCTCACGCAAATTTTGCCCATTTTCTCGCTGTGACGATCGATCCGTTGCGTTTCGGCAATTCTGACGAATCCACGGCGACGTTGAAAAATGGAGCGGTGTCGCCTCGCGGGAGGGACGCCACGGACGGGGTGGGGGGGAGGCCGGGGAGGTTGAAAGCGAGAGCGTCGAAACGGGAGAACACTAGCCCAGACAAATCCAGGCCCAAAGAAAGGGAAAGGTTTGGAAAATGGTAAAAACGGAATTTCGCAATTGTTTTAGAGAGGGAAAACAATGCGCGGGAACAATGGCGAAGCGGATTACGCGCGGGTCAACCTTTTCGTAATTCGGGGTTTCCGAGAACCCATTGCAGCGCGCCTCGCAACCTTTGCCTTGACCTTGGCTCCGTTTCGATTTCTCACGAGGTATGTGTGTCACACGCTCCACTCTCGATTTTCCAGCCCCACAATGGGCCGAGCCACCGCAATGACCCGTAAAAAATACGCTCGTTTTCATTCAGCAAGTCAAAATATTGGCCCCGAGACAAAACGGGCCCGCGCTGTTTACGCTACGCCCTGTCAGGTTAGGTCGGGCCCGAAACTGTGCCATCCGTTAAATAATGCACAACCCCCCCACCCCCGCCCCCTCACCTCTCACGACGGGGGGCTCCCGCATTATCCAACAATGCGAAATTCCACGTGACCCTGACCGAATCGTTGCCTAACTGATTCCTAATGATCCAGTTGCAACCCTTCAGCCCCTGTCAGCCTGTTATCCATCTTAGGTGCCGTTGCGTCTTGTTTTACATAATGAGACCGTTCGCTAAACCTTGAGTATTTCTCGAAATACCTCCAACCCTTTTTTCGAGGGCCGTTTTGGACTGTCAAGCGAGGAAACGGTTCGGCTCTTCTACGGACGATTTCTCTTCATTTGCAAGTCAATTTTCGGAAAAACTCCCAGGCAAGCGAGTTTGGAGAAAAGGTAACTGCGTTTTGGAGGGGTTGAATCCATGGAGAAGAACGCTTACGGTAAAATGGAACCGCAATAACTGTACATCAACACGGTGTTGTTGTTTGGAGTTTTTTCGAGTCAACCTTGGGAGCCCTTTTTTGACGAGTGACGCAATAGGGTTTCTGTTTTAGAGAGACCGTTTCAGGACACGACAATGATAAAGTACGTACACATACATGTTCAAGTGTAAAAGCTTCGGATGGTCCTAAATTGTGTGGGCGATGATGGAAGGAAAATTAATTAGTGAAAACCGATTACATCCGTTTGGTATTTTGTAAAACATGTTCATTACATTTTATTAGTAACTAACTAGGCAATTCATTGTGAAAAGGCAATTCCTTGCAAAAGAGTTCAATGCTGTAACTATGTGCTCACACAAAAAAAGATCTTTTTTGCCCCAAGGGAGGGGCACTTGTGAGAGACACTTCCTACTCCTTGTGAATGACAGCCAAAGCTTACATACTTAAATAGCGATGGTTTTGGAAAGTTATGTGCTTTGAAAGAATTTCGTATTAAGGACCCCCGTCCCCCGTAGTAGCCGTTTGATTACTCTCAGAAATTACTGTTACATAACTTTCGACAAGTCGGCGAGGGTCATAATTCGCGGGTCGGGAGGCATCAGTTTTAGTAGATGTGTCTCTATCGCAGCCAAAACCGTGGAGGAGATATTGGAAGCTCTATAGAGGTTTGAGGTGGAGGATTTGTTCAAGTTTTACATCTGGTTCATTTCAGCTAGTTAGTGTTCTTTTCCGGCTGCTCATGAAGATTAGAGCCTGTACCATGGGCGTGTGTCATGATTCCGGATTCGGATTCCCTGCTTACTCACTGCCGCGAGCGTTGAGTAATTCCAATATTTGCCACAAAACAGGATTCGCTTCCAGGTGACTGAGTACACAGTCATATTTCAACACCATTGCCTCATTGCATCGAATATTTTCCGCTCCCCATCTTCGAAGGTAGTTTTAGATTCACGATTTGTGCCCGATTTGTGCGCGCGCACTTCGGAAGAATCCGGAATTCGGTGAGTAGGGCCTCCCGATTGGGAATGAGCGGCAAATTGTGCAAGATTCATCCCTCTCCCTAATTCCTTGGATGATAAGGAATCGACGATGTAAAGTTCACCGGGAATTTTTAAATTTTACTGTAAAGTATGATTCGTAAAGTCAGTAATTTCGCGGGCAGAATGGCAAGGAGGCGACGAGAGCGCATGTTGCACTAATGCTGACAGGTTTGTTTGTTTGACAATTTGGAGTGTGTGAGTCGGTGAGCTTTTTGTAGCTTTGATGCGGTGATGCCATATGGTATGAAATTTCTCGATAGGTGCGGAAACGCAGTCAGGCTCAGGGTTGGACTGGATCGCATCTGAAGGTGACCCTTGGCTGGTCAAAGGAGCGTAATGTGATATTTCTCGGGAGGGCACCATACGTGGAGGAAAGTTCAGAAAATGTTGGCAATGCAGCACAAGTATACACTGGAAAAAAACCAGATTGGATCTAGCTGGAGTCCTGACTCTTGAAAACATTGACAAGAAAACGTACTCTTGATTCAATCAGATTTAAGCTTATTTTTTTTTTTTTTTTTTTTTTTTTTTTTTTTTTTTTTTTTTTTTTTTTTTT